GTGGAGGTGGGGAACCAAAGACCTCCCCTTGCATGAGGGCCCATCCTGGCTGCTCCTGCCCCTCCCTGTCCCAGCCCTGGTCAGTGTCTCCCCACTCCCCTTGCACCCCTGATGGTTTCAGGTGGTTGTGGCGGTTGGGGTTCGGTCTGTTTGCCGTGTGTTCAGGATGGCCTGGAGGCTTCTGGGTGACCACCAGTCTCTGGTCAGCACTCACTCCTCACCATTCCTGCCACTCAGAGCAGATTCCGTTGTAAACCTGAGTTCAGATATTGCCACTATTTTTTTTTTTGCTGACGGCAGCCATGCCGCTCCTTCTCGGGCCTTGGCCCCCGAGCTTTGGAGCTGGGTACATGGTGATCTCTCTGGAGGCAGCACTCCAACACTTGTTTTTTTTTTTTACAACTGCAACACCTCGTCTTCCTTAGGCGGTCTCCCATCCAAGTACTAACCAGGCCGGACCCTGTTTAGCTTCCGAGATCAGACGGGATCAGGCGTGTTCAGGGTGGCATGGCCGTAGACTCCAGCACCTTTTTTTAGGTGGAGGCACTCTTAATCCCTCCTGTAATCTTTGCGTTACTATTGATTCTTAGATGGTGGTCACAGATGTGTATAATCACCGGTTCCACAAAATCTTCCAAATGGATGAAGGGTTAAACCACATCATGCCTCGAGATGACATTTTTGTGTGAGTACCCAGCTGTTTCTGCTGCAGGGCGTCAGAGGAAACGTTCCAGAGGCTTTGCCTTGTTGGTGTGTCTAGAGCAGAGGTTCTGGCAGTTGGGGACCGTGTGGAGTTGCCCTGGTCGCGAAGTGCAGGAGATGGCAGTTAGGGAGTTGTGGCAGCCAGCTGCGCCCAGCGCCTTCTGGCACTTCTGAGCCAGACGTTCTAGATCACTCTCCTCGGCGTGAACACAGCTTCCTGTTAAGGCCTATTTGACGGTTCTTCACGTGGTCCTGCTGTTAGAAATGCTTTTCTCAGGAAGAGTCTCAGCTGCGTGAAGGACCGTGGGAAGGCAAGAAGGCATGTCATACAGGGAGAGTCTTGTCCCTTCCCTGTGCCACAGTCAGCAGCCCCTTAGATAGGTATCATTTCAGAATGACAGAGGGTTGATTTAAAAAGCCCTTTTCAGCTCTTAACATCCTGTAAGCTGAGAATTGGTTTTCTCACACCTGTGGGGACAGTACACTTGGACTCCAGCGGCTCCCCTCAGCCTTTCCCATATCATCTTGTGTCTGGGCCGTTCCCTCCTTGTGACGTTGTATATGTCCCTCATCCAGGTGGGTGGGGTGGACTGAGTGGAGCAGTTTGAATGTGGACCCTGCCCAGCCACCTCTCCGATTTCCCCGATTTCCTCAATTTCCTCCAGTAACTTGCCTCCCCTGGGGAAGGTTTTTAGGTTTTGTTTGGCTTTTCTCTTTGGCTGAGGACTGCAGTGCACAAAGGCATCTCCTTCCTTTACATTTGGGCGTATGACTTCTTGGTCACTCTGAAAGAAATAGTTCTTGACCACGCCCAGGATCCTCATTCTGTTCACACTTGCAGAGGCCACCTCCCCACGTACCACCACCCTCCCTCACTTTACAAAGCGCCAAGGCTCCCACCAGGCCGCAGAGCTGGGGCGTGTCTGTGTCTGACCCCCTCAATTCTGGAAACTACACACTTGAGCTGAGAAGGCATCACCCCGTGGGGAACTTGGGAAACCACCATCAACAAAGGGAACCTGAGAGGACTTGAGGCCCAACCAACAGGAGAGGAAATTGTTTTATAGATGGATTAATAACTGTCTTAAGAAAACACAGTAGTAGTGTCAAATACTTTTTGAGCATGTGATGCATTGTGCTACTAAGTTTTTTAATGCTCACCACTACAGTGTAAGTTGGGTAATTGTGCTGTCTATTGAGTAAACAGTTTCAAAATTTAGAGCTCTTGGCCTGGTCACAGCAGCCAGAAACTATCAGCGTTGGACCTGGAACCAGGGCCAGCCTTACTCCAAGGCCTGGTTCTTGACTTTGATGCTAGACCATAAGGTCCTTACCCTAGAGCACACTTTGGACATTTTGTGAGTTTTTCTTAGAACTCGTCCTGCATTTACTGCAGTCAAGACTGTTTGCCAGGCATCTGGGGAGGGGTGTGTGTGTGTGTGTGTGTTTGTGATTATAGTTTTCAAAAATTGAATCAGTAAGTTTGTGTCTCCCCCTATAGGAAGAGGGAAAGACTACAGTCGGTTGCCAGCAATTTTGGTAACATCTGTTCCAGGATAAAACATCTATAAATCTCCTCAATCCCATGTATTCACTAAGTAAGACACATTTTTCAAAATCATTGATTTGTATTTAGCAGTTTCTTTGGTTATCTCTGATTTTTTTAAAAATTAGATATGATTCTTTTTACTTCAGTGTTTTTGGACAAAGATGGCAAACAGTTTTATAAGTTTGCTTCCTCATTTGAAATAGAGTCTTTGGCTATTACGCTAGGTGTACATCCTTGTATAATGTTTTGTCTTATTAAAAGACAGGGCGCTGAGAATCTTTTTAAAAATTGAGCTCCTTGGTGACAAAAAGATGATCTTGGTGGCCAGGCCCCCTATGTGCCTTTGTGTCTAGAGTGGTAGTCTGGATGACAGCCGTCATCTGCACTGAGTCTCATTTGAAGGACCACAGAATTTGAGGCTGTGGTTGGGGGAAGGAGGGTTGTGTAGGTTCACGTTGTACTGACAGTGACCCTCCTTGGAACTCCTGACCCAGCCCCTAGAATTACCTTGAAAATGGTTTCTCTGCCTTTTGTGCTAAAGTATGCTCTGTCCCAATAACCATAGTCCTGGCCACCATGTAGCTGCAGCTCAGAGCTCTGTCGCTTACAGGGACCTGATCCTAAACGTGCCCTCTTATGTGATTGACACAGGTACGAGGTCTGTAGCACCTCTGTGGATGGCTCGGAATGTGTCACGCTTCCGGTCTACTTCAGGGAGAAGAAGTCCAGGCCATCGAGCACTTCCTCTGGGGCACTGCTATATGGACAGCCACTGCTGGTTTCTGTCCCCAAGCATAAGCTAACCCTCGAGTCTTTGTACCAGGCTGTTTGCGAGCGTATCAGGTTGGTGGCAGGAATGTGATTTGCTTGTTATATGAAATCAAGACGGGCCCAGTGATGAATGGTAGTGACCACCCCCCACCGAGTGCCCGCTGCTGGTAGAAACATGGTGCTGTCAGCCCCTGGGAGGGCCAGGCAGGTGGTGGGCTGGGGTGTCTGGCACATCTTCAGCACCATGATGCTGGGTACCTAAGCCTCCTCTGGTCCCTGGAATCCTGTCTGTCACACCCGTCAGTCACCTGCTTTAGGGAGTCTAGTGCTTTGATGGCATTTGTACTTGAATATAATTTTCGAAGTAGTCCAGTATCGTTCTGAAGCTTATGATGAATGTTACTGGGAAATACTTTTTTAAATGATGGTGCCACATGACATTCATGAAAGACTTGAAACGACTTGGTATTTAGACATCTGACCTCTTGGGTTTCTCTCAGTTTCTTGAAGTGCTGAGCCATCACATGATTTTTAAGCCCTTTTTTTTTTTTACATAAATTGCTTTACGAATATCTAAATGTGTAAATATGGACTACCTCTAGCTAGGTAGTGAAGAAAACGTAAATGTTACAACTGACAAATGATTTTTTTTCTTTCTCTTTTTCAAGCCGCTATATAAAACAGCCATTGCCTGAAGAGTCTGGCAGCTCGCCCGTGGAGCTGGGGACCTGCAATGGCTCCAGGGGCAGCTGTGAAGGTGAGTGCTCACCACACTGTGGGGCTGTGACAGACCCAATCCCTTCTGACCTCCCTCCTCTTCCAGAGGTGTCATACATGTGGGAGAGGGCAGCTCAGAGGCTGCGGCAGGGCGCTGCCTAGAGAGCAGACCCAAGAGCCCTCTGCTGGTGCCCGCTGCCCGACTTTGGCACCTCATGGAATCTTCTTAGACGTGGTATCTGCACCTGGGAGACATTCAGTAAATACTAGTTGAGGGTCAGTTTTTTTCTCGTGGAGGAACCGAAGACTTCCACTTAACATTTGTGTTTATTGTAACATTTAAAAGTTGCCTGCCTTCCTTACCAAGCTGCCTTCTTAGGTATGGAGTATAGGTTTAATTTTGCTCTTTTTCTCTCGGCCTGATGATGCAGTCTGCAGAGTCGGACTCAATGGAGTGAAACCCAGTAAACCACCAACTGGCAAGGGGCCTAAATTTAGGACTGGCAGGACTGCTGGCTCCCTTTCTGCCTTTGGGTGACTCGTCACAGAATCGCAGTGCCCACTGTGCCTGTCCTACTGGGTGGTGATGAGGGGCACACCTTCAGGTGCCTCGTAAGTGCAAAGGGATAGATGTCGTTCTGCACACTCAGGATAAAATCTGGAAGGAAACACCATAGTTAGGTATTAAACTAAAATTATAACATCAAAATGGTGGCAAATTATATACATATTATTTTTCATTTGTGTGCCAGGAGAAGACGAAGAAGAAATGGAACATCAGGAGGAAGGCAAGGAGCAGCTTTCAGAAACAGAAGGCAGTGGGGAGGACGAGCCAGGGAGTGACCACGGGGAGACCACCCAGAAGAAGATCGGAGGTCGGCCCTGCGCTAAAAAGCTTTTTACCTTTAGCCTCGTGAACTCCTATGGAACAGCTGACATAAATTCACTTGCAACGGATGGAAAACTACTTAAACTCAACTGTAAGCACTTTCTCTAACCTTTCAAACCGGGCTTCTTGGGGACTTAGGATCTATTTGAAAATACTTGCTCTCAGTACTCACTGTATTGGGCTTTCGTGGTCTCCGCGTAGCTCCAGAAACAGACGTTTGTGTGATCCTTGGCTTAAAGTTCCCTAAAGACCATTTCAGACACACGCACGCATGCACACATGCCCCCCCCCCCAACTCCCACCCCCAACTGGCTTTTCTCTTTGGTCTTTGATGATTGCAAACAGAAGTGAGAGCTCCCTCCATTCCCATCACCCTTCACAGACTTTGCTCCGGGTTGATGACATGTCTGTGGCCCTCCTGGGTGGCAGCATTTCCCCAAACTCATTTCACTTACGAGAGAAGAAATGCAATTTTCTTTTGTTTTATGAAGATGTACATGAGATGTGATCCATCTAGAGGATGGACATGGGTTTTGTAGGCTTTCTGTTCCCTGAGCCTGTAATGGAGCCTGCCTTACAGGTGGAAAGAGGCATCCACACAGATGTGTGTTGTGTGTGACAGGCATTGAGTGGACGGTGAAGACACCTGCACAGGGACGGGAGGGGAGCTGCAAAAGTATCTCTTGTGCCTTTTAGCTCCCCCTACCCCGCGTTAGAGAAGAAATTAGCTAGCTAGCTCTCTTCATTTTGTTATACCTCTTTAAAAATGTTTTAAGCAACAACTTTAATGAGATATTTTGGATCTCTGTATCTCTCTCCCCCTGTCTCTGTAGCCCCCTCCTCCATAGTACATACACTGCAATTTCTAGCTATCTAGCCTTTGACTCCTCAACTCCGTGTGCCTCTCTCCTTCCCCGTCCCCGACGCTGTGGCCTGGATAATCCTCCAGGCAGTGAGCTGGGGCAGTGTGGCATCCTCGTTTGTTTTCTGTTTCTCAGGAAACTCACTCTTGCTCTGCCCAATACCCAGTGTCTGAAAGCAGGTGTTTCACGTGTTTTGTCAGGTTTGCTCACGGTTTAAGGCAGGAGGGTAAATCTGGTCACTGTTACTCAGTCTTGACCTATGCCCTTTCAGAATTCTGTATAGTTAGCTCTTTTAGAGCTTGTCTGTAGCATCGAGGAAATCTTTGCTAAAAGATTTAGGGGTCTAGGGGTTCAGCGTTGGCTGGCCAAAGGCATAGCGTTGCTCTTAGCAGTGGCTGGTGATGGGTGAGCACGTGCTGATGGCGCAGCTTGAGTGTGGTCCTTTTCACTCCTGTCACCTGAAGAGTCTCTCCTATTGCTGGCAATTCAGTAATGAGTAACACTTTGGTCCCCCTCCACAGCTCGATCCACACTGGCCATCGATTGGGACAGTGAGACCCGGAGCCTTTATTATGATGAGCAAGAATCTGAGGTAGGTCACTTGGGGTTCTCAGTCAGCGTGCATGCTAGTTTCTGCTCTGGATGTGTATTAGGGTCACTCTCAGGTCCACAGTAACTTAACGAATTACATTTTAGACTGAGAATGACAAGCACTTAAGGGTTTTGTCATCGTATGTTCAGAGGCTCCAGAAAGTACATATTACTCCAGGAGTGAGAACTTGTGGGGTCACGGGTCCAGCTGGTAAGACGTTTCCCCAGCTGAACTCAGCATTTTGCTCCCCACAGGCCTACGAGAAGCACGTGAGCATGTTGCAGCCTCAGAAGAAGAAGAAGACGGCCATGGCCCTGAGAGACTGCATCGAGCTCTTCACCACCATGGAGACGCTGGGGGAGCAGGACCCCTGGTAGGCAGCTCCTCTCTCTGGGCTGGGGCACCCACGCAGCCTGGGCTCGGATCCGCTGGGGCCATTGGAGCACGCAAGATCCCTTTGTATTTGGATGTGTCACCTTTTACACGGCGGACCCTACAACACAGGTCTTTCTGTGTAGATTGTTCTTTCCAGACTTGGAAAGCCATCACCCTGTTTGGGAAGATAACTTAGAGGCCTCCCTGCCCTGAAGCAGTGACACTGAGTGCAGGAAGGGACATGGGACTACGGCTCTGCCTCCAGCTGGAGTGCCCAGGTGGCGCTGGCCCCCTGCCTCCTCACTGAGTGGCGGTTTCTCTTTTCAGGTACTGTCCCAACTGTAAGAAGCATCAGCAAGCCACAAAGAAGTTTGACCTGTGGTCCTTGCCGAAGATCCTGGTAGTCCACCTCAAACGGTTCTCCTATAGTAGATACTGGAGGGATAAGCTGGACACGGTCGTGGAATTCCCAGTCAGGTGGGTCCCTGGGCTGTAGCGTCAATAGGAAACTGAATGAGTGGGAGGGCATCTGGGCACTAACTGGCTGAGGGTTTTGCCAGCAGAGACTTCTCTGCATTAGGATGTATGTTGCTGGGCTCTGAGAGCTTAGACTTTGGCTCACTTCAACTCCCCATCAGCCCACATTCAGGGAAGACTATCCAGCACAAGTGCCCCCCTAGGCATGGGGTGATGCTGATCATCTGCCACTGCTTCCCTCTCAAGTCCCTTCTGCCACCTGCTCAAACTGATTTTCCCATCTGTCACTGGTCCCAGGGAGCCTGGGCAAAGCGAGACAGCACAGGCTTAGTGCTGTTTCTCATTAACGGGGACCAGGCAACCAGAAAGGCGTCTGCCAGGGCGAATGAGATTATTGGGCTGTAGGTGGGGGTGTAGACCCACCAAGCTCCTGACCCAGGAATAGGGATGGGACTGGCTTTCTGCTCGTGTCCTCTCACGTCCTATGGTACAGAGTGTAACTGACACAGAAAAGTAAGTCAACAAGATGGGAGTTCCTCCACAGACTGCAGTTTTTAAAATGTTTTTTGGGGAGGTAGATAGATAAACGTATCTATCCAAGTATAGACGAGTCAGTGAGAGAACTTAGGTGGTGGGTATATAGGTATCAGGAAAATTCTTTTAACTTTTCTGTGTATTTGAAATTTTCAAAGTAAAATATTGGGAAAAAGTGGTTTCTGGGGCCTGTTTTGGTATTTAGCTTAAGTTTTTATGGCACCAGTTGTAATTTTGATAGTAACAGCCATTTTTACACGGTTACTACAGCTCTCTCGTCTGCCCAGAGCCCTTTCTCACCATTTGATCTGGGGTCGGGGTTACAGGAAGCTTTTCTTTTCCAGCTTGAACATGCCAGTGGTCCGAACAAGACCCTGGGCCCCTCAGGTTGCAGTTTGTTCATTCCTTCTTCAGCAGGGTTCCTTCCCCTGCGTTCTGGCCTGTCGCATAAAAGGGGTTGCTGGGTTACGCCAGCCTTCTCTGAGTTTACCGTATTTAAAGGCGATTTTTGTGTTCTGTGCTCAGAGGTCTGAATATGTCCGAGTTTGTGTGTGACCTGTCAGCAAGGCCTTATGTGTATGACCTCATTGCTGTATCCAACCATTACGGAGCCATGGGAGTTGGCCACTGTAAGTACTGGCATCTGCTTCCTTCTGCTTCCTTCTTGAAATGTCCTCGGCCAGTCATCTCTCCCCAGCCTCTTCTTGTGTTCCAGACATGGCCCTAAGCACTTCACTCACACAGCTCCACAGGCCTCAGGCCATTTTTATACTGCTGCCCCTTCATTTAAAAAAAATTTTCTTTTAGTTTTCATATTTTTTAATCTAATCATCCCACGTCTGGGAATCTATCCTAAGGAAATTACTTGACATTGGGAAAAGCTTTATGCACAAGGATATTTACTTACTCATGACAATGAAAAGTTGGTAACAGCATCGGTGATCAAGAGTCGGCACTCTTGTCCGTCCCCTTGATGGAAGTGTTCACAGCCGTTGCAAAATGAAATTAATAACGTGGGGGGACGTGCCAGTGATCTGTTAAGTGAAAACTACACAAAATGGCATCGTTACAGAAGGGAGTTTCACAGCTGTGGTAAAACAAGAGAAACTGGGGGTGCAAGTAGGAGGAGAGACACCAAAACGTTGATTTTCCTTTTTTCTCTTTGCTCTGCCTTATTCTCCATCACTTGTGTAATGTGTAATGTGTAATTCATAGTGAAGAGACCTGGTCCATTTTGTTGCCTGTTCACGGGAAGGTGCTAGTAGCGCTGAGCGAGGAGCTGCGTCTCCTCACATCTCCTTATTGCACCTGCGCTGTCCAGCTGCCAGTCCGGTGCGCTAGGACCCCAGGAGAAGACACCATGGGAGGTGTCAGTTCATTTACACGCACAGTGGGAGAAGACACCATGGGAGGTGTCAGTTCATTTACATGCGATTCAGGATTTCCCTACCCCAGTCTTGCCCCCTGTACTGGTGGGGAGCGTTTTCTGTTGGCTCAGCAGTCTGCTCTCCCGCTCTCCCGTTCTTACGGTATCACCTACTGGCTCCCGATGGCGGCTCAGTCTGCAGCCCACGTATCTGCGTTCTAGGCCATCAGAAGAAAGGAAAACAAGGGCACAAAAGGGCACAGCCTTTCCTGTTAAGCAGACCTCCCAGAAGTGCCCCTCAGCCGTCTGCATACATCGCACTGGCTGTAACCTGGTCACATGGCTACATCTAGCCGTAGGAGAGCCAGGAAGATGAAAATGGGGGCTGGCTCTACTGGAGCGGCCGTTAGTGGTCCCTGATCGCATCATATTCTTTAGCACTTTCTCTTCCACAACTTTTTTCTCCCCCAATTAACTTCAATACCTGTTTGTGCTGCTGCACGCTGCTCAGATGTACTCGCGTTTAACTGCTGTTTCGGCATGTAAGCATTATCACTCGGGCAAGTTCCCTGGGCTCCATGTGCTTCAGTTCCCTCATTCACGAGGTGGCTGCTTGTGCGAGGGCCACATCGGGTCTGCAGTTGGAACTCCAAGATTGAGAGCCACCATCACTGACGTTAACGCCAAGCACACACATTGGGGACAGGCCCTGGGTGCTGTCTGTCACCTTTCCCTTTGTCACTGCCACTTCGTGCAGTAGGCACCATGGTGAGGAACAGCTCATCACACAGCGGGTTGAGACCCGAAACCCGACCTCCAGTAGTCTGTTATTTCTTAGCGTCTGGGCGGAGCAGGAATTGGGCATCACTGTGGGAATCGCTGTTGTAAACACATCATACTTGGAAATAGTGTCAGATCAAGACAGGAAGTGTTGGCTGTGGGGAATGCTGGATCGAAGTGAGGCACTGACTCTTGACTCACAGTTTTAGAGAAAGATGAATTTAAGTCTTCCTGTCCAATCCCCCAGCTCTGCAAACCCAGGTGCCCAATGTGTACCATACCGGGGCCACTGCACACGCTCCAGAGGCGGTAAGAGGCAGGAGGAGCCACCTGCCTGGACAGTGGGGAGTTTGACTTGGTGTGTTCTTTCGAGAGCTATTGTTTTACTTAAATCCTAAAGTCTCAGTTCCTTGTATGGGTCGCCTGGCTCAGGATTATTGCTTCTAGCCACCCTGAAAATTGACACGAGGTTTCTCTTTTTTTTTTTTAGAGTCATTTCTTAAAATTACAGTTTAAAATGGTCCCCAACAGCTCCGTTTTTACCCTTTTCAAGCCTTTTTGAGGAGATTTTAAAAGGGGCTGAGTTATCTGGGTTCTTAAGACACAAGCTGTAAATTACTTTTAAGGGTCTTTGTTTTGTTTCATTTTTTGGAGTTTTGTTGTTCAGTGCAAGCTTGATAAGCTGGCCCAATTAACTCTCTGGTGACCACTGGAGTGCTTTCTTTTGGCAGACACTGCATATGCGAAGAACAAACTGAATGGGAAGTGGTATTACTTTGATGATAGCAATGTGTCCCTGGCCTCTGAGGACCAGATTGTGGTAAGTAGGCCCTGCTACCTGCTTCCTCTTTGTTCTTTTATGGATTAAAGCTAGGAAGAGTCTCCTGGGCCAGTTGGTTATTTAGTCATCCTGAAGTGACAGTGGGAGCTAAATGTGGTGGAGAAAGAACTGGCTGCCATTTCTTCTTGTACTCCCTTTAATGAGAAGCTTGACTCTCCTCACGGTTCTGTCACAGGGCATCTGCCTTTTCCAACTCCCTGGGCAGGGTCAGCACAAGTAGCCTGAGGTGGAAAGGCCTTGAGGGTCGCCTGTGTGTGTGGATGCACAGGGCAAGATAGCAGATTCCTAAGAGAGGTGTGTTTTGAACAGTGAGAGAGAAGCTGGGAAGAATGGGTGATTTTTTTCCAACCAGTGAATGGACTTTTTCCCTCTTGTGTTTCAGACAAAGGCAGCTTACGTGCTATTTTACCAGCGTCGAGATGATGAGTTTTCTAAAACGCCTTCACTCACCAATTTTCCTGGATCCTCGGATAGAGGGACGAGACCAAGCAGCTCACAGCAGGGCACGGGGGATGATGAGGCTTGCAGCATGGACACCAACTGATGCTGCCTCAGTGATCCTGCCACCTCACAGCACCAGTGTAACCCCCCAGGACACCTTTGACCCTCTGAAGACTACTAGTGTTTGGGCTAAAAACCAGATGAGGAAATTCCCTTCTTTTATGAACAGAAGAAAAAAAAAAAAAGACGCTGTTTGCTCAGAAGGGTTATGTCAAGAGGCTGAATTATTTTTCTTTTTAAACAGGTGGTGAAAATTTTCTGTAAAACCTGTGGAGCCGCAGCATGGCGGTTGGGCAGGGGGCACACAATGGCATGTCTGAAGGATGCAAATAGAAAAGGAACACACTGTATTTGAATATCGTGGGGCCATGAAGACTGCTGCAGGCCGCCCCCAGTTCCTGGATTTCTGATTCTGGTGCCACTTACCGGTCACCCCAGTAATCTGCCCACAGTAAACTAGGCCTCAAGTAAACTTGATGCCCTTTCTCCTTTGCTGTGTGCTGAGATGGGTTTATAACTCCCTAAACATTAGTTTCCTTTTCAGTCATCTTGAAATTTCCAGCTTTCCCTAATGGAGATACTTGGTGCGGGAGTCTCCTGCCCCTCAATCGAGTGTGGAACCTCGCAGTTCTGTCATGTCCCCTGCCATCCTTGATGAATTGAGACAGCGCGATAGCGTGCGGAGCTTTTATTAGCTATCACCTCAAAGTCGGTACACAAACAGCCGGGTACTGTGTGTGCGGGCCGCTCCGACCCCGGTCCCCGCCGCCCCGCCCCCCGCCCCTCCATGTTGGCTTGAACACGGGACGTTCCTGGGAGCTTGGGCTTGGAAAGGGCTCCGGGTCTTGCAGACTTGTTAGGAAGTGAGACAGCCGCCCTCCAGTCCTTGTCCTTTGGTCCGGCCTCCCCACCCCTGCGGATGTCCGGAAGGTCACGCGGCCCCACCGCCCCTTGTGGGGCCCGAGTCCACGCCTGGCTGCCTCTCTGTGAGCCGGGACCCGTTTCCCTTCGGTGTGGGTTTGAAGAACACTGTCCCGGTGTTTTTCCTTTGACCTTTAACCCCAGCCGAGCTTGGGGCCGCTGGTCTCGGGCACGCGCGATCGGCCGGGCAGTGACCGTTGGCGGGGGCGGTGGTGTGGTCGCGCTGCTCGGTGAGGACGCGGCTGCCGGCCCAGGGCCCGGCGCGGCGCGGCGCGGGTTGCGGGGCAGGGCGGCCTGAGAAGCGGGAGGCTGCGGGGTGAACAGGCCGCGTCCGCCGCGGAGGCGGGGCGAGGGCGGGCCGGGGGGGCGGGGCCGGGCGGCCCTGGGGCTCACGCCGATCGGCGATCTTGGGTTCCTGCCACCTACGCGGGAGAAAGTGCCTGGAGAGCGGGGTCCCCCACTCGATCCTGTAGCGTGGATCAAGCTCAAGGAAGTCGTGGCAGGTCCCCCGTTTGGGGTGGTTTGCGACCTCACTAACGTTACCGTTCCGTTGCTCTGTACATTTCCAATGTATTGTTACTTAATAAGGACATGGTCGCTTTTAGGGAAGATGTCTGAAAAACTGAGAAGATGCAGAAAGGAGCTGACCGCAGCCATCGACCGGGCCTTTGAAGGAGTCAGCCATTCCCCGGAGTGCCCAGGCCGGCAGCGGCTGGAGATGGACTCGGCGCCGCTCTCCTTCCCGGTCGCGGTGCCCGGGCTGCCCTGCCGGAGACACCCGGCCTGCCCCTCCGCTGCCCCTCTGGCTCCTGTCCCCTGTGCTCTTGAGAGCGAGGGCCCCGCCTTTGCACCAAACCAAACCCCCGTGAGTGCAAAGCCACAGGCTTTGTGCCCCCAGAGAAAACCCCTGACTAGCAAGGAAAACGTATTGCTGCATCCCTCCATCTTGGCGCCTGAAAGACAGTTTTGGAGAGCGGCAGGAGATGGGGAGAACTGGAGAAAAGACGGCCTGAGGTGATTCCAGTTCGATAGTTTAATTGCTACCGTTAGGGGTACCCGGTTTCTGAAAAAGTTGTCCACGATCCTGAGTCCACAACGCTGCTCTTTTGCCTGCCCTCAGGCGCGCCAAGACTGGTTTGGGAAGTTCAGATTCTTCAGAATATGGCCCAGAAAATATTCTGAGGGCGGGGGGTTGGGCGAGGAGTCCCGGATGTCTAGCCGGTCTTGCAAAGCACTTTGTAGTACCCAAAGGAGTAGTGAACGTTAACAAACCCGATTTTTAGTTACCTCATTTTTTATGCCGCAGAAACAAAAAATCTTAATTCTGATGTCCTTCGCCCATGTTGGGGACAGGGTGCATGGAAGGCTTCATCCTCGCCTCTGCTCCCCTCCCCTGCCCAGAACTTTTTTGACTGAGGGAGTTAAGATCTCCCTCAGACCTTTTCTTCTTCCAGGTAGCTTCAGACTGCCTGGCCCCAAGCACCTTGATTTGGAGCAAGATTAACTATGTGGGATTAAACTTTAAGGTCCTGCCATCTTGTCTGTCTTGTAGACAAGAGAATGAAGAAGCCATTTAGCTGGTTCAATATTTATCCTGGTATTCAGAGACATAGACATACAGTCTGTGGTGCTCGTGAGTCATCATAATGATGCCATTAGTCAACTTCACTGATTTAGCAGTTTCCAGTAGTCCCCCGATCACAGCATAAGTGACAATTTAAAGTTCCCAGTACGTTTTTGTCTTTAAGATTCTCTAACGTTGAGATCCTTTTCAATATTTTCTTGAAAGAAAATCTAATTCTGCATCTTTTTCTTTTCGCCTGGGGGCTGCAGGAAAGATACGGAGAAAGATTTGAAGGTTGACTCAAACATGCCGCTCAGCAGTTCTAGCCAAGAGGTCACAAAGGATCTGCTTGACATGATCGGTGAGTACAGCGGGCCCCTCCGGCCTGTCCCTGGGAGGACAGGCTCTCCACACAGACCCTGAGTTAGCAAGTGTCTTACGAAAGGCCACCCTCTTACCGCTCACCCGTGTACGTGGTAGGTTTGTTTTGCTCATGGCATGGAGCCCTCAAGTTGCTGACAGCTCAGTGGAGTCATTTCAGAAATGCCTCGTTACAGTGATCCCTGGAGGTGGGGACAGCAGCCCCCAGGACTTGGTGGTTGAGCTCACATCTGAAGGAAACAGGACAGAGGCAGAGATCGGGGGGAGAGTAGTCCAGCTGGGGCGGGTAACGAGATAAAAGAAATGTAAAAAGCCAAAAGCAGTTCCACCATCCAGAGACTACTGACGTAGAGCTGTACCTGTGGTCAGACATTTTCCCAGCACACGCGTCTGTATGTTCTGTGTGTGAACTACGCGTTCCCTATTTCCCGCTACACGGTTGACAGACAGCTCCCAGGTAAGCGAAGCATAGCCTCGGGGGCTGCCTGAAGCTGTTGGCTCCGAAGGGCCTCCAGGTTCTGGGGGATGAAAGCCAGGCCTGGGGAGGGGAGGCGCTTGCCCTAGACCACAAAGCAAGACCCCTGCCAGCCCACTACTTTAGAGGACTGAGTCTCCTCTGGTAGCCCCCCGAGGTGAACCGAAGCCATCACTACCTCTGTTCACTGTCTTCCACAGCCCTCGCCAGCATCAGGCACCATTTTGATATAAAAACCATACTTTTTCCAGCCTGTGTCTTGTCATGCCTCGGGTCAGGGAGTTCCCTGAGAGCCAGGACAAGCATCTCTCCCTATGCTACCACTCACACCTTCCTCGGGGACTGGCAGATGATTGGAGCTCGATAAATGCCGGAGCCATAAAGGAGGGCACAAGCCCACCTTAAAATTTGGCTCTTGCGCCCCGGGGTGGGCACACGCAGCTTCTCACAGCCCTGAAAGAGGGGCCCCCCACTTGTAGGTTTTAACTCGCTCCTGAAACGGCTGTGGAAACCACTCACTGGAATTACAATGCTGGATATTCTTATTTTCAAGACCATACCAGCATCCGAACTATTGAAGAATTGGCCGGAAAACTAGAATTTGAAAACGAGTTGAACCGGGTGTGCGGCCGCGGCGAAGACTCGCCCTTCAGGGATGGGGCCTGGGCGCTGCTCCTGGACGAGAGCCCGCAGAAGGCCTCGGACGCTGCCGACCCCGGCGGCCTCAGGCGGGCTTTCGACGACCGCAGTGTCATCGAGACGGTTCTGGACCTGGAAGAGGACTACAATTTGATGACCTCCTTTAAATACTAAATTGAGTAAGGACAGTTGCCTTTAGCTTTGATTCTTTACAGCAGGAGGCTGACCCTGCTAAGGTGTCTGAGCTGAGGCAGTCACAGTTGTCATCTGGGGCCACGTTTCAAAGGGCTGGCTGAACCTGAATTACCATGTCCTTTTGAACTTTCAGATGTGTCCCTTTTTGAGCTGAGAGTTAGTGTTGTTTTTTTTTTTATTCTGTTGCTTTGAAATGTTTCTTGCTATTGATTTTTTTTCCACTTTTCTTGGCATTTGTTTTTTTGATTGATGTTCAATATACCCAGTGCTCGAGGCAGGTGCGAGCCATGGGCCTCCGCTGTGTCTCTTGGTGTTCTTTCCCACAAGCCCCTGAAAAAGTACCACGGCCACAAACGGGTGGCTTTGTGGACCAGCCCATCTCAGGCCAGCTCAGGCACATAGGACCTGGGGTCAAGAAGGACCTTGGCCCCAGGCCCTCTGCCAGCCATGCATATGTCCCTCTCCTTGCACTTTGCATGCAGGGCGCCTGTTTCCTGCATGGGCCCTATACCTGCCTCATGTCCCCCATCCCTGTCCCTGCCAAGCTCAAAGGCCTCTTGGTTGTGTCAGAAGGGCTGGCAGCATCCTTGGTCCCCTCCTGACAGGACATTCCCGTAAGGCTCCCTACCACATATCCCACACCCCACATCAGACACCTGGGTCCTCAGCTGAGGGGGGTGGGGCAGGAAGGGTAACAGGTCCTGCCCATCCACCTTCAGTCCTGAGCCTCATCCATCCCACTCCAGGCCTGGAGACCCTGGAGGCGACAGGTGGTTCCCAAGGCGGCGACCCCGCCGAGGCAAGATGGGCAGGGAGAGAAGGCGGTGCCAGGCCACTGCCCTCCTGAGGTCAGCATAGCCCCAAAAGCTGAGCACAGCTGGCTCCAGCTCCACCCCTGGAAAGAATGTCATCGGAAATTATTTGGACAAATCTCTCAAAATTATGCTGTTCCTTCAGGAAACCTAATAAGCTCTTGGGCAAGGCTCAATGCCTCTCAGATACTGCTCTCAGGGAAGTGCCACCTCCTGGGCTCATAGGGAGGGTGGGGGTGAGGAGGCTGGCACAGGGGTTCTCTGTAAGGCCCACAGCTCAAGCAAACCAAAGAGCTAGGGCAGGAAGGGTGAGTGCCCGAGGCCCCCCAGTTTCTACCAGGCCATCCTTTAGGCTAGCCAGCAAAGACCAGTCTGCAGAGCCAGTGACACCCCTTCCCCACAAGGCTGGTGAGTCCTCTGGGCTTGCAAGTGGAGATGGCACACCCACTTCGTGGAGTGGGCCTCTCCTGCAGGTACAGTCACCACTACTGCCCTTCCTGGGGCAGAGAGCAGGACGAGGCTAACCCAAGGCCCCTTCCAGGCCCCCTAACACTCAGTCCCTGCAGGGCGGCATCCTCAATAAGCACTCATAGCCTGAGGAGTTGGGCGTCTGTTGCTTCTCCCAGAGCAGGAAGGACAGGAGCAAGTGAGAAGAAATGCTCATGGCAGCCTCGGCTGTCTGGCTGGAGCGATCTCAAGCTACTGGATATTCAAAACACCAGGTCCCACAATAGTGCGGTCCACGTAGAGGAGGCAGTGCTTAACCCCCACCCCTTGAGGGTGAGCTACACTTAGTGACTTGCTTCCAAAGGATACAGTAGTGAAAGGGGCAAAGAGTAGGTTTATGTGGAGAAGCCTGGTAGACATCCCTTAACCAAGTGCTAAAGGCGAACGCCACCGTGCTGTCCCATGGGTGTCACCCGCCCCTGATAGGATGCTATGAGAAGGGCGCTCTGCCTCTGTGGGGTTCTTACTGAAAACTCACATCCCCAGTCTAGTCATGAGACAAACGTCAGACGAACCCAGACTGGTAGTTTTTCTACAGGACACCTGGCCAGTCAGACTGTCAAGGTCATGAAAAATAAAGACTCAAAAACTGTCACACACCAGAGGAGACTAAGTTGACACAATGACTAAATGCGGTGTGATATCCTGGATTGCATCCTGGAACAGAAAGGGGACATTAATGGAAAACTGGTAAAATCTAAATAAAGGCTGGAGTTTAGTTAATATTTATTTATGTTAGTTTTTTAGTTTTGACGAATCTGCCAGTTATGTAAGATGTTAATATTCAGGAAACTAGGTGAAGGGTTATATACAAACTCATCATCTTTACAACTTTCCTGAAAATCAAAAGTTATTCCAAAATTTAAAACGTATTTATGTTTTTAAAATGCAGTTGATCTCAAGTCTGTGAAAGCATGTTTATGAGCACACGTGCAGAAAATTGTCATGGAGGAGACGAGGGGGAGTTCGTTTTCTTTTTTTTCTGAATTGTCTAATTTATTTGCATTTATCACTTCTATAGAAAGAAAAAATTATAAGGTTATTTTTTTAAAAATCCTCATCTCTGCCAACCAGCCGTGGGCATCCCTCACCAGGTACCTGCCCAGAGCTGACCTTCAGCATCCAGGACCTTGCGCAGAGGCCAGGGCCCTTGGGGGAGGGCCCACCAGGACCTGACAAGGGGGCGGCCCTTTCCTGAGGGTGCTGGGTCATGGGGCTTTGCAGAGCTGGTGGCTGCTGGGGACGGGATCTAGCCTTAACCCTGGAAGCCTGAAAAGAGGAATGTTTTCTGCCTGTGGTGGAGACAGTAGCCCTCGGGAACAAGGGCCGAAATGGTGGTGTGGGTGGGGCAGGGTTCAGGATTGCCCTGGCCTCACAGACAGGCATCCTCTGTTTATGTGAAAATTCGGATTCACCACAGGGGCGGTTCATCCTGGAATCCTTGAAGGAGGTGAGTGAGCCCTCAATCTCTGGCGTGCCAGCCCCACATTAGTAGGCGTGGTCATTTCCTTGGTGACATCTATTCCCCTCTGCATCCCTGGTTCCCTGGGAGGCCCCAAGGAGACCTGCCAGCCTTTGTTCATCTGCTTCAGTGCAGCAGGCAGATGTGTTTGGGGAATGGGGTTTAGCTGGAGGGGGAACGGGAGACTAGAACATTTATTTTAATACAATTTCCTCAGATTTGCAGGGAGCTGGGATCAAAGACTTCTCCGAGAGACATGAATAGTCATAATTGAACTAAAAAGGTTTTACGTCACTTGATTCTCTCCCCCGCAGTTCATCTTGGCAAGCCAAACAATCACTGAATTGTTTCCGTGGAAACACCAAACTGCGGTTTGAATTAGCAGAATCAAAATAGAAACAAGGCAGATCCAAGAATAAATAAGAGCTTTGGAACCTGCTAATCACAAACTGCAAATTCGAGCCACAGCACAAGGCCTGTGAGACGCTGGGCCCGTCCAGCCCCATGGGAGAGGTTTCCAGGTCCCCTGGCTCCATCACCAGTGTCGATGCCAAAGCCACTAGAAACCAGCTCTACACACCTGTAGACATTGTAACAATGTTTAAGGCAGGAGCTGGTCTGCAGAAGCTCCTAGGAGAGACTGGGGGCGGCTAACGGGGAAGGCTGAGGAAGAAAGGACGAGAAAAAGGTGAGAGATGAGCGAATGGCCAAGCGAAGGTCTGGCAAGGAGCAGAGAGCCACAGCTGAAGCCTGAGAGCGGAGAAACGATTCTTTCAAGGGACAGTTCAGGGGTGTCCACGGACTGGAAACGGAGATCCTGCCCTCAGCGCAGTCGAGGCCGCGGTGTTCCCACTTTCCCGCCACAGCGGTCTAGCCACATGGGTCTGGGCCAGAGTCTGTATTCTTGCCAGGTGAGCTGTGGGGACGCTTCTGGTTAGTAGCTTCTGCCTCTGTGTGCCTCCAGCCAGCACAGGCGCACGGAGGCCTGCCTCACCTCTGGGGCTGGGGGATCCCCTCCCCTGGCCCACCTGCTCTGGCTCCTTGGCACTCCCCTGGATCCTCCACTTCCAATGCCAGGGAAGAGTTTAAGAGGATCAGGAGACCAGGGGGAAGGTGACAGACAGCCTGCGGGCCTGTGCCCCTCATGTTTGCACCAGGAAGCTGATAGGGAGGGCAGCAATCTCATCCCGCCATGGGAGGGGTTGTGAGCTGTTGATCAAATGGATGACAAAGCTTTGCTAAAAGACCTAATTCAAGCCGATCTCCTGCCTCCTGCGAGGCGTGGACGGGCCAGGGGCTCACCTGGAGCCTCTGACTGAAGCATGACACCTTTAATGTGGCAGTGAGGACCAGTGAACGAAGCATGCACACCACAGAGGCCACGGCGCCTGATGGTAGAGAATTGAAAAGACTGTCACCAACCTGAGGCTCTGGCAATTTGCTTTCCCCCTGGAGTATGCAGGAGGACATTAATATTTTAGTATCCACCAAAACATTTATAGAATGAACAAAGGTTTACTCAGGAAATCTAGTTGACGATGGCCCCCAGTCCCGGTGGGGAAGGACTCTCTGTGCTAGGCCAGCTGGAAACAGATCTGATGAGGAGTTTTGGCCTAAGGCCTGGCATGAAAAAATTTTCAAAACTGCTCAACCCTTGTAGGAAGCAACTATGTTTTTTTGAGGGCAGAAAGGCTGTTGTTTTCTGGGCGCTCTGAGTGAAGAGGGGTTGCCTGGAGCTGGCCTGAGAGAGAAGTGGGTCTCGCAGGAGACCCCTCATCAGGAGCCCTTTGGAACTTCTGAGACAAATCACAAAGAAAGGGAAATTGCAAGGGGGCACTCCAGAGACCTGACTTTCCGGGCAGGGCTGCCAGGGGCTGTTTGAGTGATGAGCAAGCAATCCCTGCCCTCAGTAAGTATTTATCAATGTCTGTGAGTCTCAGACACTCTCCTGGATGCCGAGGGTGCAGCAAGGAGGAGGCAGATGCTGCTCTTCTGGTCTATATTCCACTGGACAAGGTGGCTGAAACACAGTAGACGCATTAATACATCCTTTCAGATGGAGCTGTATGAGAAAATTAAAACAGTAAGGGAATGGGCAGGGAGTAGGGTGAGCTTCAGAAGAGGCGAGGTCAGAAAAGGCCTCTCTGTAGGTGGCATTTAAATCGACGCTTGAATGTCCAGACAATTAGGTGCTGCCGTTGGCTTCATTTTTATCCTCAGATTATAACTGGAGTTGTACCAGGGGGAGGAGCCCCTAGCTGGCTCTCTGGGACCGAGGCCCATGGACCTCCCATCATATCCACCCGTAGAGTCACATCTCTATCAGCGTCCAAAGAGCCCAAAACTGCGTGCTCCGGGGCCCTTCCTGAGCTATGTCACACTCACTAAACCTGGCAAGAACACGGTAATTAAAAAAAAAAAAAAAAAAAAAAGCCTAGGAATAAAATAAGAAACAGAATAGGCTTTCCTGATGATTGCCAGAGACAGGCAATATAATTTTAATTAACCCAGCCTTGTTAGGAGATAAATTTACCGTTCATTCTACAAAGACACCCAGCTCATGGAACAGTGAGTCACTCTGACCTTTGACTTCATGACACAAAATGAAATACTTCTGAAGAAATACAAGATTTCATAACTCGCGGCGGAATCAAAGAACAGAGGGTCCTGCTTTGGCATTGACGCTTCGGTGAGAAGGCCGGTCACAAAAACTAACAACATTCAACAGGGTCTCAACTTTAAATTAAAATAATTAAACTTTCCAACTTAGAGTAATAAAAGATTTCCAGATACAGACCCCTCTGGTTCTACAAGCCTCATGCTAAGCGCTCGACGCCAGCTGAAGTCAGTTTGGGAAGGGCTGGAAGGAACCCACGGTGTGGCTGAGCACCCTCCTCCCAGGCCTGCGTTGCAGAGCAGAGGACACCAGCAGAGAAGGCAGTGGAGGCTGGCAGTGGAGGCTGAGCAGGCAACCACTGTGGCCCACAGCGGGAGAAGAGGCCAGGGCAGCCCGAGGCAGAGCCCCGGTCCACACTTCCGTGGCCTCAGAGAGGGCTGCTGCCTGGGGCTCCCAGCTACTGGCTGCAGGAGGCACGTAGACTAGAAAGGAGAGTAAGAGCAGCTTAGGCTGGTGCCTGGCACGTCTGCCAGAGGTGAAGTGGGCAAAATAAAATCTCTGACTTTTGTGGGTCACACCCCTCTGAAAATAAAACATATAAAAATAAATCAATAACCATTGCTTTCTATAATGGTCCACTCAGAGGTCCCAATGTCATTTATTGGCTTGAAAATGGGCAAATTTTGGAAGCTGTCCATCTCATGAAGATTTTTACTTTCATGAAAGAAAACAAAACACCAGTTTGAGTCGGGTGTCGTACATTCAAAATCATCTTGTGAGAAGCCCAGGAAATAAGATGGTATGTATCTTATGTATTTGATGGCCTTAAGTAAACAAATAGGAGATCAGTTCAATAATTTTTCTTTTTTCAGGCGAGGCAACCCTTGGATGACCTCACAGATTGCAAGGACCTTATCAGCTTACAATCCCTTATTTTTTTTTATTGTTTACGCCTACAGCACCTGGTCTTCCTAGGTGGTCTCCCATCCAAGTACTAACCAGGCCTGACCCTGCTTAGCTTCCGAGATCAGATGGGATCGGGCTTGTTCAGAATGGCATGGCCGTAGACACAGTTCAATAAATATAATGAAAGAAAAAAAAACGTATGCTTTTAGAAGCTTTATTTTTATTTTTTGTTTTTTTATTACAAAAGAAATACATATGTATTGCAAAAATTCAAAAACGTCAGCACGATATAAATGGAAAGCCGAAGTCTCGTATAAGCCCACTGCTCTCCAGAAATAATACAGGGCCCACAGCTGCTCTCATTAACTCTAAGAGTGGTTGAAAAACAGGGCGGGGGTGGGGGGACGAATTGCGTGGCTCGTGAACAGCAGTGCTCTGGGCATTTGCTTGGTGTGTGTCACCTCTCTGTCACTGGCAGCTTTAACACTGTTTCTCTGTTCCTAAGACTGATTTAGCATGTCCTGTAAAGCATCCACTGACCAAAAATGCAAATGCTCTGACAGCAAAACTGAATAAAAATAAGAAAAAAAAATCCTGAGGCCTGGGAAGGTGGTGGCCATGTGTAGAGAGTATTTTGAAGGCCAAAAATGTGTTTGCGAGTCCTGCTCCCCCAGCAGCAGCTCTGAGACCCTCTGCTACTCAGTACTCCCCTGGAGGCCCCCTTCCTGATGCCACCCA